TATATATATATATATATATATATATATATATATATATGTATATAAATATATGTATTTATTTACGTACATACATAGATACATAGATGCATATATATATATATATATATATATACATGCATAGGTACATAGATACATAGATACATACAAATTTACATACCTATATATATAGTATATACATACATACGTACATCCGTGCATAGATACATAGATACATACATGCATATATATACATAGACAGATAGATAGATAGATAGATAGATAGATAGATAGATATATATATATAATAACATATAATTGATATTTGAGAGCATGTGAACACTTTTACCCGTATATGAATACTGTCAACATTTGTATGAGTATATACGTATATATTTAGATATACGTCCGCAAGTAGAAGGATACGCAATATGAATCTGTTTAATCTTCCAAGATTTCTATAGAGACATTAACAACGAACCTATGTTGTACACAAATACAGGCTTACACAGGTCATGCAAGACCTATTCCAGAGTTTTATACCTTCATATGTATAGGTATACGAGATACAATTAACAGATGCCAAGACTGCCCATCAAACTATATAAAAAACACGTCGATAATAAGAGAATATGTATGTAAGTAAGAATATCTCGCATTGAAGGTGTAGACAGCTATCTGAATTTGATGACCTATCTATAGTCGCCCCAGCATTGACGAATCCCAACGTATGCGCCAATAAGCGCAATTAGTTGAGAACAGCAACTCCATTATGTTAGTACATTTAGCTAACGTAGACGTAGCAGTTATTACTTGAGCAGGCTCTCAGACACATAATCATACGAATCCTAGCACCGATGCCGAGCATTATATAGAGTATTACATCTTAAAACTTGATAACAAATATATGTGCAAAGTACATCTTAGAAACATCAACTAGGTGACGCCTCAATATCGACTGCAAGCCAAGACTTCAGCTCGATGGCAAATTTTCAGTTCAACTGATATTCCAGAAAGAGTGTGCGAGTCAGATGTGCCCTGACTGATACGTACTAATGATTCACTCACCTTTTCTTAAAGTTCACCATCGACATCAAGTCGCTTGGCGCATTATACCTGTCCATATTGGCAACGCACAATCACAAAAGCTTGCACTTGACAAGTGGTTGGTTTAGCGTATCTGAAGTTTAATGTACTCGTGACCGGTGATACTCTCGGCCACCACGAGAATGTGCGTGTTATAAACCTAAACACATACACTAGACAAAAAAGGTCTGTAACGGTGTAGGATTAATATGTACCTAAAGTAAATATCTATGTATACTTTTGAAAATAAATTGTTATTTATATTTAGTGCCCCTGATCGGAATGCTACACGACATACAATGAAGGTAAATATGACAATATGCAGGGCTGATATGTTAAAATACCTCTATAGGACTATAGTGAAACACCGTATTTAATACAGACTATTTTTTTAAATATTTTGTTTAATATTATTTACACGACATTCTATTAACGAAGCGCCGGCAACTCGGATCATTTATCCGTACATACCCGTCATACCGAACTTTTCGCCAAAAATAATGACGCATTCATTTTACTATACATAGAGTTGTTGCATATAAATATATATCCAGGTTCCCACTTTGTATGTACTATTGATCAGCCCCCTTGTTGGACACATACGTGTCATTGAGAGGAGGCTACTTGCCTGTGTAGACTGCCATAGAAGCTAGTCAGCACACACTGTAGCAGTATATCTTGCCAGCTGTAAATACGTTCGAAGATAAAAAAGTACTGCAAACGTGGTATTTACGCTTGAAATAGGTTTTCCGATACACTTGTACTTGAGCCTTTGAGGCTGGGCGTATCGTACGCACCACGAATGAGTGTTTAACCCTAGTGTATGGACATTTAGCGCATACACACAGTTATATATGAAGGAAGGGCGTACTTTTAGAAACACTCATCAGATCATCATGCCCTTGGAATTGTCACACAAGCATAATCAGAATGAATGTCTTGAGGGGTCGGAGCGGCGGGAGGAGCTCGTGCGGATACAAATCCAGGCGTTACGAAGCATGGGCTACGAGTATGTCAGAACTGTCCATGTCTAAAACTCTCCTTGAATCATTTTTGTCTAAGTTATTCTATGTCTGATTGCCAGCTCGTCTATCCTTGCAACTGACCATACATAAACGCCATGCCCGATTGGATGTGCGTGAAGTCGATGGTCGGAGTGTTGTTAATTAACACACGAAATGTGTGACTACTGCACTTGCAAGTGAAAGCATTGATTATCCGCACCAGATTCCTGTGCACACTAGCTCCATGTAAAGTATTGTACATCTATTGCAGATCGCATTCAATGATTGTCATTTACGTGTATGCGGGATTCTCTCGGCACACAACCGACACCGTGGAGCTCCTCTCCTGCTTTTGCACGCTAGTAAGACGTTCGCTCACTTGTCCACAAATATGTTCAGATTCTTCTCAGACTCTTTTTATCTGTATCTGCTAC